ATTAAAGGAATTATACAGCCTGATCAATGTTTTTGTTAGTTCTTTGATGTATGGCAAAACAACATAATTAACTCTGGGAATAGGAGCGACCACTGTAGTGCTGTTGTTCTCATTGGTTGAAAAATTAATTCGTATCTGGTTGGACTGACCAGTGTTGTCATTTTCACTATTGTTATTCGTCATTGGCAAAATATTCGGAGGAGATCTGAACAAGATTCTGTTAAACAAATACTTAGGATAGCCATCGTTGATAAATAAGACTGAAAGCTTCCTTAAATTGGAAAGATGGAAAGTACTGTCAGAGATTTTTATAACACTGTCCTTCATTTGTTTCACCAGGTTTATTTTTATTCTTATAAGCTTTTATATACGTAGACAGTAAATTAAAATTTGAAGGGCACTATGAATATATTATTTCAAAAATATCCAAGAAAATAAATCACTTTTAAAGAATTTCGTACAGCCTAAGCATTTATTCTAAAAAAATGTGTACAACACTATCATTCTTCCTCATTTGTTATGTTGTTCGACTATTTTGTTCACTGCAAATGAAACTGTATTTTCAAAATTACAAATATTACAAAATAAAGCTATGAGAATCATTTTAAATAAAAATAGATATACTAGAATAAATTTTATGCTGAAAGAACTACAATGGTTAAATATCCAAAATTTCATAGCCATAGAAAATTTCATTTTATTGAACAACAAGTGCCACAATTATGCTACTAGAGGAAGTATAGACTTTCATTTTCAAAACTACAGTAGCAATATAACGAGCAAGTCAGTATTTCAAAAGGGATTGTACGAATTTAATAAATTAAGTAATGATATCAAGGTGTGTATCAGTTTGAAAGTGTTCAAAGGGAAATTGAAAAAATATATCATGACAAACCAGAATTCATAGTAGTGAAATTTTGTATAAAAATATGTAATCTTGAAGACATAATATATTTTGTGATATACTGTGTTATATGGATATTATGGACATTGTATTAATGCTAAATAAATTTACAACAAACAAACAAACAAATCTGTTTTCACTTATAATAAATATTAAAAGCCTTTTTATTGAGTCTAATCTAGTCATTTTTATCCATTCTGGACCGGCAATTGTCAATCAAACCAAAACCTCTTCACGTTAGTACAATAAGGATCGTATGACATATATCATCATAGACTAAACTGAATTCCAAAAATGATTGTCTTTGTTTAACTTATTCTATACGAAGGTAGCCAACCGTATATAAGTAAGAGTTGTTTCTCCATTCTGCGCCAATTATACCTTGATAAAAAATCTCACCTATAACTCAAAGAAGTATGATCACAACAGCTCTTTATCAAAAAACATGAAACGATTGAGGGTAAAGCATCTGTATGAATTACACTAAATTAGTTATAAAATACCACTCACATACATAGCCCCGTAAACTAAACTAGATACTATTTCAAGTAACATTCATTTCACAGATAACACAATGCCCCTTCACAAGAGGTGAAACTTGTCCACCACATCACACTCGCTCAGATCGCGAACATCTCTATGACAAAAGTTCAAAATGCATCAAGGTGGATCAGGCGTGCGGCTTACTTTATTGCCACCAAGATCGTTGGACCTAAATCCACTACATTTTTTATCTAGGATGCTTCAGGTGTATGCCAAGCTGGGTTGACCACAGTTGGTGAACGAGCATGCCAGCGGTTACTTTTGTAGATTAAAAAAATGATTTGAGTAAAAATGTAGAGCATGTAGAGCAGTGCCCATTACATAAATATCTTAAATGTAAATCATCATTCAACATCAATCCTGTCATTTTTTTTGCATCCAAACCATGAATTGTCATTTTCTGATAGCTACGAAAACTGACTGTCCTCCATTATAACGGCAATATAACAGAAAAAAACAGAGGAGTGCGAATAATAATATTATTTAATATTGCCAATAGTCAGTCAACTCTTTCGACTGATGGGCGCAGTGCTCGAACCTGATCCTGTCACTCTATAGGGTGTCAAAGTCAAAAGTAACGAGGGATTTCAATAAAAATGTATACTTTGGCATGACTTATATGTGGGTTTTTCGCCAGATAAAAGAAAAGTGAAGCTGTGTTAGACGAATTGCTCAATGCTGAGCGTTTTTAAATAAACCTGGTCGAAAAAAGTTGATATTTGATGAAATGACACGAAGTTAACTGAATAACGTTATGGTAGTCATATGATCCATGGTCCAAAAGTCAATAGATTTTTGTCTAAATGGCTTTATAGTTTACAACTTTAAGTGCTTTATATTGACGACAATCACCACAATCTTACTAATTTTTATAATCTAATCTAAAACGTTTTTAAATTGGGTAATTAACAAATAAAGGGCATTAAGTTTTTCTAAGCCAAAATTTGTAGTCAGTAGGTAAGTAGGTTTTATTAAATTAAATATTTAAAACACACATGATAACAGCGCGTCGGTCTTTCATTACCCTTATCGAACCGTCAATCGTTCGCAAACGGTAACAGTGGCTAGTTATCGTTTTGCATAGATAAATTACTTTATCGTTTTGTCGAGCAGAGCATCGGGCGTGTTGTCTTGTTTTTGTTCGCGTACGTCGTCGTGTTTATTTACAATATTCTCGAATCAAGAGTTCGCTGACATGTTGTTAGTTTACGTTGAACCTCGTCAGAATACAAATCTTGCAGCTCAAATTTATCGCGAAAGATTTCGCCAACGGGTACACCCAGACAGAAGGACATCTGTGGAAGTGTTCAGCCCACTAATATTCGCACTCGTGAAAGACAGGTTACTGTCGAGCAGGAGGAACAAATTTTAAATATCGTGGAAATCAATGCAGATATCACCACTCGGGAAAAACGGGAAAATTTGCTTTATCCCTACCATGTACAACGACTGCAGGCCTTGTTGCCAGAAGACTATCCTCGCAGACTAACATTCTGTCAGTGGTCTTTGCACAAAAACATTGCAAATCCGGATTTTTTTAAAAACATTCTAGCGACGGACGAATCTACTTTTACGCGAGACGGGATATGAAATTTTCATAATACTCACACGTGGGCCCAAGAAAATCCTCATACCATTCGTGAAGGTCATTTCCAATAATGTTTCAAAATGAATATTTAAGCGGGTATTCTTGACGATCAGGTAACTGGCCCTTTCGAGTTACCCCCAAAGTTTTCAGGAGAAGGATACCTTAGCTTTCTAGCCAATAACCTATCAGCACTTTTGGAACACACCTTAGACAACATGCCATTACAACGGAGACAGAATTTGTGGTTTCTTCATGACGGGACAACACCACACATTTTTGAAGGCGTCATTCAGTATTTGAATCAACATTATCCAAATCGCTGGATCGGTCGAAATGCTCCTGATCCTCGAAAATGGCCAGCAAGATCTGCTGACCTCAATCCGATGGATTTCTGGTATTGGGGAGAAATTAAAGGGGTAGTTTATGGGGCTGGTCCAATAACAACTGAAGCACAACTTCGCGAACAAATATTTAATGAAGCTGAAATAATAAATGGACAGCTTCGAGGACCTGGAGTAAGAAGAAACTGGGTTCGTCGTAATGAAGCTTGTGTGGAAAGTAGAGGAACGACATTTTGAACACCTTCTGAAAACAATATATGTATCAAAATTGTGTTCCCTATTTATGAGTGGATTTTTTTAATATGTTCCATAAACTCTCATACACCAGGTGAAGCGCTGAGACAGTTAGTGGTAATTCCGTTTTCTTTAATTGTTTGTATTTCACGACTACATTATCAAATAATGAAATAATACCTATGAGCCAAAAGTAACAAACTTAATCTTTATTTACACTGCGTTCCGTCTTAATTTGCGTCTGGCATTGCGGCGTTGTCGGATTTTATTTTACTTAAAGTCCCTTTTCTCTAAAAAAATGCCGTTTTGACCCCCACGTTATATGAAACTTTTTGCTTTTTTCAACCCCCTCTATCACCCATTTAAATAATGACTATCATAACGGTTACGTATAAGCCAGTTGTTTTAATTGGATGCTGAAGATTTCAAAAACTATAAAACTTTTACTTAAACAAAATTTGACCAAGTAGTAGGCCATGACGTGACCTATCTACAGTTCCAAGATAATCCTTCAATTCCGGAATCCTGTATAAGAGTGTTGTTTATTTTTTATTGAAACATATTAAGGGAGATGATTGAGATTTCAATTAAATCCGAGGCACTATGAATTTTACTTCTGAAACATATCCTGTGGTAACCGTTGAGTAACATACCACAAATTGAGAAAGCAGTATTTGCAAAATTGCTTTTGAAGTTGTGGGTTACGGATCAAGTCGTAAAACCGATACCTCGCTCAATTTGGAAAACGGAGCAATGAATCTGGCATGGTATAATTCTGACTCAGCTTTAATGTTGGTATTTGTGTTTTAATGATTTATTGGAAAAGAAAATTCCTTCTGTGACAAAATTTTACTATAATACATATTGTTTTTGGATAAGTTACAATACACTTTGTATTTCTTATACGATGTTGTTCTTCAAAACCTGTTGCCAAAAAAGCTCGAAAGCTGCAGCAAAAGAAAAAATAAGCGTTAGCTAGGCTCGTTATCTGCACCTCAGTCTTTTCTTGTTGAACGTCAGAAAACTGGAATTTACGTATTTAGGCAAAGGCTGTATAACTAAAGTATTTTTACACTGGATTCTTGAAGATTTGCATAATTTGCAGTTTTACTAAAAAATTATAAATAGGAAGTAATTTCATAACAAATAAACTGGGTGCGTAGAGTTGGCGAACTGCGATTAATACAATAATAACAAAAAACCTATTAAAGAATTTCAACATGATTCGTTCAACAACTCTTATAAAAACATATATTACGAATGCTATGAGTACGTACGTCTACATACTAGATTTTAAATTTTCATGCATATATGCGATAGAAAAATCAACAAATGCTAAATCTATTTTCTGATGTACATCAAGAAACTGAACATAGCAAATATTATTTACCTTTTCCTTTAGGAGCGTTCAGGTCCTCCACGATCTTCTGGCAGACCTGCGGTGAGAGAGCTGGCTCGAAGTTGTGCCCTTGTCTTCTGGCCACATTTATGTCCAGAAGTTGTCCACATGGGTTCCTTACTAGATGAAGAATATCCTTCTTTGAATCGCTGCAGCGAGTTTCTGACTCCTTGGCTTCTGCCTTTCCTACAAAAAAGATCCACAGCTCTTCTGAAGCGAGTTAAAACGAACATATACGGTGTGGTCCATAATCAATGTGCCAAAAAGATGGAAATACATTTTTTTCTCGGAGAACTGCATCAAGCAGTGCGTCAAAGGGAGCAAACAAAAAACAGATAACAACACATTAAATACTGCATGGATGAAAAAGAGCTTAACAGAGAAACAGGGTGGATTGTTAACAAATATAAGAAGCGTACAACAGAAACCACCACCAATTAAAGTTGGAAAGGTATGCGCAGCATACACAATAAACTAGAGACAGAAGCCTACAAATCCCACCACAATGCAATATGTCCCCGGAAAAAAGCAGGGAATCCTGCATATACGGAGTACGAGGGATGTCTTTTAAGTTTTGCATATGGAAATAAAACAACACGGTAGGTAGTTTTAAATGACTTTATTGTTTTTCGAAGTATTCTCCACGAAGATTAGTACACATCTGCATGCGCTCGAACCAATTTTCGAAGCACTTATTCCACTCGTTTGCTGGCAGATCCAAAACGGCATTTTTGATTGCGTCAACTGCTTCATTTGGTGACTGGAATCTTTGACCACGCAGTCTGTTTTTAATTTTCGGGAAAGTAAAGAAATCGTTAGAACTTATATCGGGACTATATGGAGGATGGTGCAATAATTCCACGTTTTCTTCGGTTAAATACTGCCTTGTTTTTTGGACTGTGTGCGAGCTTGCATTGTCTTGGTGGAGGATGATTCTACTTTTGGGGTTGATTTTTCGAAGCTCGGTGATGACTTTTGGCAAACAAATGGTGGTATACCAATCCGCAGTAACAGTTCTTTGCTCATTAAGAGGAATTCTTGGAATATGACCCGCTTTTCCTGGGTGACTGCCGTTTTTGGTACACCCACCCTGGGATCGTCGCTAAGACTCACCCGTCCACGTTTGAATTCTCCAAACCAACGGAAAATTGTTGACTGATGTGGCGCTTCGTTGCCGAACACATACAGTAACTCAGCAAGGCATTCTTGTTGCGATAATTGTCTCTGAAAGTTGTAATAAATTATGTCGCGAAAATGTTCTCGGTTGAAAACCATTTTTCTAATGACTTGGTGACACTTAAAAATTCACTGTAGTGAGAACACTGCACGTATTGTTGTGAAGCTTTGAATTTAAGTTTAGTAAAGAGTGAGGTTAAGATTCAGTACTGACGTTCGACCCGCGAGGCCTACTATGTTTCTATATGCAAAACTTAAAAGACATCCCTCGTATAACCAACCTAATGGTTTTCATTTTTTTATGTATTTTCCGCGGTAACAATGCTGCAATTTCGAGAATAGTATGCGGTGCAGCTCGTTGGCTGACCGCCGACTTATGTCGTCCATATGGACGACGATATTATGGGATATCCTAAATTAATGAGATTCACATACGATAAACTAGAGACACAAAATACAAATCGCACGACATTCTATTGGTGCACGCTGTGGAAAGTTCTGTATTTTGTGTTTTTTGTTTGTATTTCAAATAAACACATGAGTTGATGTTTTACATAGGAAGATATGTGAGTACTGAGGAGCTTCAATAAAGTCATTTTATTAATGGAAAAGCATAACACTCAAAAGACCATTTATTATCTTCCTTTGTGTAGCTACTTAGGCTGGACTAATAGGGTGTTTTTAATTCAAACCGCAATGCTCTAAGAGGTTACCCAGATATGATCGTCTTTCGTTTTTTGCTGAATTACCTACAATTGCGCATAAATATCGCTATAACTTTTCTGTTTCTAGAGATAGTGACATAAAATAAACGTGAGTCTGTTCTGTAATATTTTGTGAGGTTTGTAAGTGAAACTGGGTTCCAAAAAAGATATGGTTTTTGATAATCGATTATTTTAAATTATTTATACACGTGATTGTACGTCTTTGGAAAGTCGTAAGTCATTTGTTTGAGAAGATTAGTACAAACCGTTTATTTCATCTAATTGAGTATACATTATAGAATAGTCATACGTTTTTTGTCATTATCTCCAGAAACAAAAAAGGTATAAAGATTTTTATGCACAATTCTAGGTAATTCAGCAAAAAAAGCGAAAAACGATTATATCTCTGTAACCGTAGCTCTTAGAGTATTGCAGTTTTGATCAAAAATCATCAAATAGCATCCCCAATCGCCCACATAATTTTGTTGGTTCATCTACCAAACTTATGGAATTCCTCTGTACGAAGTAGCGGTCTACCAGCTATTTGCCCACGTTGTAGTCTGCATCTGTGTCATTTTAAACTTATCCCACATGCGTAAAATGCCTCTCTGAAAGCTATGCGGTTTTCACTATAATTAGCGTAATTACTGCCAGCTTCACCAAAGGAAACGCGGGACGTGGTAGAAACAGAAAGCGGCTCCACTGAGACAAAGGACACTCACCGTTCTGTGACTGCTTATGAGCCGTCGGACACAAGTTCAAATATAAACGTAGCCGTGAGCTGCTGCCGTATAACCTGGCCTTTTGTCTCTATATGACCTCTTTTCTAGTAAATTTCTCAAAATACTAAACAGAACTAACAGAGGCTAATTAGATTAAAAAGCCATCTACGACTATTAATTGACGTCCACGGGGCGATAATGTTTATCTATACAAGGTATGTCGCAAAGTAAACAGGACAGAGAAGAAAATGAATACACATTTTTTGTTTCGGAAAATTGATTTGATTTTATTCAAAATAGTCTCCTTCAGAGTTAATACAGCGATTTGTACGTATAAAAATTTTTTCGTATTATCAATTTACCTCATTGACAGGGATGTCCTTCAAAATGGTCATCGACGCCTTTTGGATGGCCTCTTTTTTTGTAAAACAATCGGATACAAGCTTCGATCGATGAGATGCGCATTACCGTGCCACATGCGCCAGCTTTCTTCTTTGCGATATTCTGACCGAACACAACGAATACGCGACACAAACGTCTCATAACACCAAGATAAAACACAGCATTAACCGTTTTGCCCGGTGGAACAAATTTTTTGCGAATAATTCCCTTCCAATCGTAGAAACAAATCTAACATTGTCTTGACCTTGGAGTTTTTCAAACGGCTTCTTGCGGATTTGGCTCGCTTGCGTGTTTCCATTCGGCACTTTGATGCTTGGTTTCGAGATCATATTGCAAACACCACGTTTCGTCATAAGTCACAATGTTGCACAGAAGTTTTTTGTCTTTTAGGCCCGCATCGTCAGTCGTTCCTACAATTGTAGGGTACCTTTATGGCCTCCTTGATTGGCATAGTTTTCTACTTTTCCGTGTAAGCGCTCTATTTTGAGGTTATGTCACAAATATCTATTTGCATCAAATTGTGCTTGCTTTTGAGTTATATCACGTTTTATCAGCCTGAAATTTCCTACAATTTGAAAAGAAAACATATCTTCACAATAGAAGAGCACTGACGCTAACACGGGACAGGTGCAATCTAGAAATTTTTGAAGGAGAGAAAGGTGTATGACAATCATTGAGGTCATAAACCCGCCCTACAATTGTAGGAACGTCTGACGATACGGGCCTTAATGATGTCTCTCGAATGTTGAATTCAAAGCAATTTTTGGTCATCCGTGAGCAGAACAGTACCAGATATTTTCCATGCCCATTTCAAAAACATTTCCATTCATTTACACACGTCTAGCGGAAACGAGCTATGACTACGTAGAGCATATCCACTTTCCATACCGAACGCTAAAGTGAGAAAAATCTATGGATTTATCAGCTTTTTAGCTAAATATGTGAAAAACTGACTTCTGCAGTAACTGTATGAGGTGGTTCAGATTAATGTTCCAAGCATTTCCATACAGTTTGTGAAATTACAAAAAATATCAAGTCAAGTTTCTTATAAACGTACACGTAAATATTCCAGTAATTTTATTAGAAACAAAAAAGTTGATTTCATTAAAACATGTCAATTGGTACCTTGAACATAGTTATAAAGATACATGTTAATAAACTAAATGTAATTGTATCCAGGCGAAATTGAAAATTAATAAATTTAAAGTTTTCGCTTTAGAATATATTCTGATATCTATGGGACAGTAAAATATGAAATTCAAATGCAATTGAATCCGAAAAAAAAAACAAAAATTCCATCAAAACAGGAGCAAATCTAGACGTTTTTCGAAAAATGTACTAATAAATGCTTGCGATAGGGATTTAATGAATTTTACTGTATTGTATGAGAAAGAGCGTTGAAACTTGACCACCTTATGTTGAGGCATCGTGAGGAAATGTTACGCGTATTCAAATTGTGAATCAAAAAACAAGGTTTTCATAAAATATGAGAGAAAAGATGTTTCTAATATCTTTGATGGCAAATATTACACAGATGTATATCAACATATAGGATATTTTTAACCAAATCACGAAAGGCATTGAGTAAAGAACATATCTTCTGGAATTGTTTATATAGCGACAACAGGTATTTTGAATTTTTTGCAGTCTATATTTTGTAATTTCGTCCAAATGAAGAAAAATAAAAAACGTTTTCATTTTACTCAAAACATTGAGCTATAGCAACTCGAAGTGCACTTTAAACAATGACTTTACACGTTAAAGTTTTTCTTGGTTTGTTTGATTTTTCAGGAGATTGTCACATATTCGAGTATTCGTAATATAAAAGGTAGGGTTATTCAAACTTCCCTGATAATACGTTTGTCGCTCATCAAAAACAATCAATTATTTTACCATATCACTCTCATAATATAAAATCGCAAAAGTTAAGCTATATAATTTGCCATACTCGTTATTGTTGACATTCTCATTAGATCCTGAATTGCTAATAAATGATCAATCTTCTTCGTCATTATAAATGTCTGATACTGTTGGTTTACAATTCTATCATTATTTTTTTCTAATTTAAATCCATGATGCACATTAACCGGAATTGCCCAAAATCATCAAAATGCGATGGATTGAGTCTTTAGAGTTATTTAGTCCTATTTCTTTTTACATCAATGAAGATTTTGGATCATTTTTGACAAATTCACGCACTTTTTCGACAATTTGCTGCGTAATTACAAATTTTGGCTGCCCAACATATTCGTTGTCTTCCAGAGACTCACGACCATCTTTGAACAGTGAAAGCCACTCGCCGACTCGGCTACGAGATAAACAATGTTTACCAGCACAGAACTTATTATTGGCTCTTTTTTTGACGCTCATTTTTCGACCGATGCTGAAAAGCTGCTGTCACTTTGAGCGCGATAACTCCGCGTGAAGTCATGAAATTTTGAAAGGGCATCAAAGAAAAATGTAGATTTCCAACGCTAGTCTTCGATAATAGATGGCGCTACTTATATGGATATCTTTCAAAAGTCCTCTTTTCTTTGCGACAGTAGCCTTTTGATGGAATAAAAATACTAACTGGGTGCCAGTAAACATAATGAAAAGGGATAATCCAATACATATTACTACTACCACTATCACCGCAAGAAGGCACCAAACGACAGTAGAAAGTGTCAAATTCACATGCCGTAGTAATGACGAAAGAAACCTGGCGGCAACCAGAAATCGTGGAAGGTCAATCAATGTTTTTTTAGTAGTGTCTCGTAACCATTCAAGAGATACTATAATACACACCTTCGCCTTCATGTACCCACTTGACAGATCTCTTCTTTCTATTAACGAACATGGACTGCCCCTTGCTACTTTTGTTACTGATGTCACTCAGCGACTGTGAAATCCTCTTCGCTAACTCCACTTGGTCCTCAACTGTGGGATGGAAGCCCTTTTCGTAGAAGGCTGATGAAGCGAACAATTTTTCTGCAAGAAAATAATGCTTCAAAATATAGTCAACCTAACAGATACATCTCCACGTGAGTGTCCAGTTTATTAGGACGCTGATGGCTGGTTGATATGAGAATTAAGAAATAACAAGACGAGGCAAAGTTCCACCTGTTCATATCTCTTGAACCATACCATTTTGATCAAATAACATCAATGACAGCTGTTATTTCTATTGAATCGATGACGATTTCTTCGAGCGTAATTTCAAAGATCTCCGCATTGAACGGAATCACTGAGACTGATTCTTGCTACAAAGCAAACTTTCAAATAATGTATATTGATAATAGTCATAGTTAGATCGAATAAAAATTTTACCAACTGTCCGTATTTCATATTTTTTAAGATTCTAACGGGTGATTTTCTAAGAGGTATAGGATTTTATTTTCATAAAAAAAACAAAAAAATTGAAAAAACGATTAAATCTTTATTTGAGTCGATAGAACGGTCGATATAATTTAATGTTTAAAGATTATTTCATGTAAATGTTGGCCGCGGCTCCGCTTTAGATGGACCATGCGCAAGGTCCAATTTTGGCACACTCTCTCCATCATATCGGCCGGTATCTCACGAATAAATGCTTCAATATTGGCTTCCAGTGCGTCAATCGTTGCTGGTTTATCCCTGTAGACAGTAGCCTTAACATGGCCCCACAAGAAATAGTCCAACGGCGTTAAATCACACGATCTAGGCGGCCAGTTGACGGGCCCCAAACGTGAGATAAACTGTTCACCGAACTCGCCTCTCAATAGGGCCATTGTTTCATGTGCGGTGTGGCATGTGGCACCGTCTTGTTAAAACCACATGTCAGCCAAGTCCAGCTCTTCCATTTTGGGCAAAAAAAAGTTTGTTATCATCGCACGGTAGCGCTCGCCATTCACAGTTACGTTCCGGCCATTGACGTCTTTGAAGAAGTACGGCCCGATGATGCCACCAGCCCATAATCCACACCAAACAGTGATTTTTTCGGGATGCATTGGTAGCTCTTGCAATGCTTCTGGCTGGTCTTCACTCCAGATGCGGCAATTTTGCTTGTTAACGTACCCATTCAACCAGAAATGAGCTTCGTCGCTGAACACAATTTTTAGATAAAAATGTGGATCTTCCTCCAACTTTGCCAGCGACCATTCACCAAATTGGAAACGTTGTGGGAGGTCGTGTGGCTTCAATTCTTGCACCAGCTGATTCTTATAAGGTTTTACACACAAATACTGTCGCAAAATTTTCCACGTAGTGGAGTAACAGAGGCCCAATTGCTGCGAACGGCGGCGAATCGACATTTCACGGTCATCACTAACACTGGCGGATACAGCCGCAATATTTTCTTCAGTCCTCACTCTACGTCTGCGTGTTGGTGGTTTAATGTCCAATAATGTAAACTGGGTTCGAAATTTAGTCACAAGCTTCCGAATAGCTCCCTCAGTAGGCCGACCAAATTGCCCATTAATTGGAAGCAGTGCTCGATGCACTCTCTTAACCGAGCATGAATTTTGATAGTAAAATTCAATAATTTGCAAGCGTTGTTCGTTCGTAAGTCGATTCATGGTTAAATTATAGACAAAACTGAACAAGTTTGACAATGACACAAGACACGATCCACGCGTCACCTGTCAAAAACAGTGTTGCCAAAAAGATACTAGCCAAAAAATCACCCATTATTTACACATTATCGAGAAATAATTGTTTTGCATTTTTCCTGTTTTTTGATTTAACATCCACAGCTTAGCTTGTTTCAAGTTTTACCATATACTGATATATTTCTGATGAATTTAGTTATCTGCCTTCATCAATAATTTTTAAGTATACACCTAGTGAACAACAGAGCCAGACACTCCAATTTTAGCTCAACGATAATAAGATATTATGGGTATTATATGCATGAAATACATTTTCTAAGATTGTCAGACGTTCGTATACAAGTATATTATAAATTGGCAGTTTAAATTTAGATACTATATAAATATTATTGTGGTTGAACCGAATGCTTACATCGATATTTGAATAATAGCCCAAGCGACTTATACCATACCTATATACACGAATAAGATGTCTTAATGGGCGCAGTTGTGAAAATTGTTTACTGAATAACAACACCAAAACTTAAATGAATCACTAATATAACTAAACAGGAGAATGCAAGGTGAACAAGCCTATTAGCAGTAGGGATTTATCAAGTCAAGTAGCTCGATATTTTCATGAGCTTGACTTGAGCTTAATTTGATTTCAAGACACGTCAAGTAGCTTGAAAATCAAGTTAAATAGTAAATCCCTGATTAGCAGAGGAAAACCATTTTAACCATTCTTGTTCAATGCATAAGAAGCTGTTGGAATGTTTGGAAATAATTAATTCGTGAATTTTGTAGAAAATGGTGTGCGAGGTTCTGGTGGACAATGTTGCATTCCACTAATTTCAACATACAGGGACTTCTAAATATGGTGAAGGTGCAGTAATTTGTCAATATTCACTCACATTTTTAAAAATAATCTGCTATAGAGTCTATAACTGCATTACCGCAATAAACAGGAAACTGATATGACAAAGTCCATGTATATAGTTTTGTTTAAATTACCTGGACTATAACAAATCATCCATTTGAATGGTCTGTTAATAACCATTACGTCAGTGTGAGAGAGAAAATTGGTGCTGAACTGTATTGCGTATATTCAAACATATAAAGCACATGCGAAACTCTGTTTTAAGTTTTAGCCTTGCAGAATGGAGATACAATTAAAGCTGAAAGCAAATGTTCTGTCAGAGTAAGACATGCATTTGAGCGAGAAAATCTACTTTGATATGAAATACGCTATGAATGTATACATCGTGTCAAAAAAATACATCAGCTATTCGATGAGAACAGAATTTAAGGCCCGTCAATCAAAATTATCGATGAGCTTCAGAGATTGTTGTTTTAGCTATCTTAAAATATATTATGTTTTCTTGTTCATAAATCCGTTGATAAACATTCACAATGAACTTTTTTCTTAGAAAAGTGATCAAACATTTAATTCGAAACCCGATGACGTATTTAATGCACACATTTAAATTATTGTTTGATTCAAATAGCCGGAGACATAAACGGGTGCAGCATTGACGTTCCCTTATTGATCGCAGTCGAAAGATAAAATATTTCTGTTACTCGAACATGATTTATTTAGAAAAGCATGCGCTGCGGAATATTTTCTTTTTTCATTTCGGTTAATTTACTGCCGTTGCTTCTCTACTGGCATTGTGACAACAAGTCTAAGCCATGTATAATCTTTTTCACGAGTATCTAGTAATATTTTAATATTCCCCATATCGGCAAGGGACACATAAGTCACACAGAGCCATATCTTGTTTTGGTTTTTTTGTATGGTACAGATTCATTTTGTTCTTGCTAGAAGCTCTTTTATTTAGAAATGGTCACTTGCATACAAAAAACTAGATGTCAAAAATAAGTTTTACTAGATTTGCACCCGATTCAGTATGGCCAACGTTGCAGGCAGCAGCGGTGGCCGCAGTAGTAGACTCTTCGGTCACCTGATCAGTCGCCGTGCGCTGTGCGGGTTCGAGTCCCGTCCCAGGAGAAATTTTTCTCTTGGCTATGGATGTTGTGATTGTCCGTAGGTGGCAGATGGTCTCTGACTGTCGAACGCGGAGGTACCACCTGGCGGTTCTCGTAGGCGAAGACAGAATGTGTGCATGTTGCTTGCACACGTGTTCCCTCCCCAGAGTCCGTGTGGCGTCCCCCACTTTCCCATGTATCCCCCTATAGCCCCACGGTACCCAATGGGTGCTTAGGCCTTAGGCCTTCGTGGTAGTTGGAGTATAAAAAAAAAACTAACAGAAAAATGTTACTTGCTAATCAGCTATTCACCTCAGTAAACATCAAAGAGTGATGGTTACTCGTGAAATACGGTATAGTTAGACAATATAAAAGTAAGGTTAAGGTGGTTATATATAATCACAGGTTGTCTGTAAGCAAGTGAATAGATAAATCAAGATATTCTATCGGGTATTTTTAGAAAAAGAGGACGGGATAGGCTAACTTACACAATCGTAAGTCAAAGTGATGTGTCACGTAATTTTGCGGTCAATCCTATTTTGAAGTTCCTAACACAGTTAGACAACTACTTGATCTAAATCTGTCTAATCAAAACATTTTTCAAGATTCGCGATCAAATATATACCTACGATCTTCTATTGGGGATGCAACTGTATACTACTGAACGCATACCAATGAGAAGTGACAAAAACGGAATGATAAAGCGGTAGTATGCAACTTTCCATTATTATAATAAAAAGTGTTAGTATGTAGATACCTGATAATGTGATATATAACGAAATAAACGTTTCTAAAAGAGGCCGACGACAATCTTGTTACTCCTCAATAAGAAATTTTTAGGATATTAGTCAAAGTCCATGTTACACAATCATTCATTTCTGTCTGTCTATGTAACCACATCTAAGCTCAATAGCTTCTACAAGATAAGTTCAAAACATCGCCAAGCTTCCTTTCTTATGCTTTTGTTATCCTGATCGTTTTGCGGGGCTTTGATTTTGTAGGATATTTCCCAAACTTTGTGTATCATTTAAAAGCTCGTTACGTAGTCAAAGAATGACAATGACCCAAAAAACCTGATAATACAGAACTTTTTTCTTATATAAAATATTATGAACTATTACACTTATTCGTCATTCAACTCATTGAAGAGCATTCTTAAAGGTTCTTAAACCTTGCATATTTTTGCACGTGCAAAAAAGCTGTTGACAGGTTTCATAGTTAAAGCCTTACCATTTATATTCTTGCTTATATTTAATGATCTTTCTATCCAAATGCTATGCTCATATGGTTTTTGCCTGGCTTATCAAGGCAAGAAATTCTAGTTCTAATATGTCTTTCGTTGTATTTTAGCCCCAAATCGTGAGATTATATGGATTATATAGATACCAAACAATTCACGTCACTCAACTCGTCAAACTTTCAAATATGGGTTGT